TTTTATGCAAATTCTTAGCTGTTTCGCTAGACAACGCCAAATCCACCCCTACCGGCGAATTTAGGTACTATTTTTTTCCTTCGTGGAATCCCTTTCTTACGTCTTCTTTAGTCACTATCCCAGATATGGCGACAGTCCGGCTGTTATTGCTCTACAGATGTCTCTCAGTACCGTCAGTTTAAAAAACTAAAACAACTGTACTTTAAAATGGTGTAAAATGAGGGTTTTTATTAATTAGTGACCCAAATATAACAAATATTTGTGTTTTTAAATAAATTTTCGCTTGTCTTTTTTTTAATAAATGAATTTATCTATTTCTAAGTAAAAATTGAAAATGTCTGTATAAGTAATTTTTTTAAATATTCTTATTCATGATAAAGTTTTAATACTTATTATTATAATCAAAACATGTTAATCCTGAAATATACTTGTATATTGGGCCACAAATATAGGCCTATATAATATATACTTGTGGCCCAAAACTCCAAGACTTCATCCAATGTGGCCCAGAGAAACAAAAAGGTTGGACACCCCTGGTTTATAGCATAGTTTATACGGATTATTCCCAAAAAATTATACATGTTTTGGAAATGTTGAGTCGAATTAGTCTAGAATCAACTAATTTTATGGAAGAAAACCTTTCAAACAGCTGTAGTCTGTAAACTGCACATGTGCCAGGCTGTGATTGGCTCATGTATTTAAGGATTCCTACAACACGAAATTCTTATAAAGTGGAATGTATCTACCGCGTTATAGGGGGGTCGACTGTACTTCCAATTGGGTAATAGAGTGTCATGTGATCACTACAGGAAGTATTTTAAAAATTTGTTGTACAAGGGAAATGATGCAGCTATTTTCTTAAAATTTAACGTTTAATTTAATTTATTTTAAATTATACCACATGCCAAAATATTTAAAAATAAAACTTAAGGTAAATAATATCACTAAGCTGAAATTGATAAAACCTTTTTTAGAGCTAATAGCTAATATTTCCATAAATTAAGTAGATATTTTCCATTGGAACATAAAAATATAGACTTAATCAAAGTTTCATCAGGATTGGACAAAAATAGCAGAAGTTATAGGGAATTCACATACAAACAATGGCTTTTATATTATTAATATTCACTCCAATAAAGAATTTTCTATGTCTTTTTAATTATATTACATTTTATGATTGCTTTTCATATTCAATTTTTTATTTTTAGGATGTAAATAATATACATCACACTAATGATCATAAACATATAATTATTAAATAAGTTTAATTCCAACATTTATACTGATAATTTATTTCAATTTGAAATTAAATAATGTTAATTTTTAATGGTAATAGATTATGTCGGAATGAGTTTGTTTTATATATTTATAGCAAAACCACAATATACATTCTGAAGTATATAAAGGTTTTTTAAAATTTTAACATTTTTAAAAAGCAGTTGAAAATGTGTTAATAGCAAATTAATACAGTATTCGTTTGCTTTTAAATAGAGATATAGAAAGCAAATAATATATAAGCATACCTCTTCTTCTTCTTCAGATGATGATGATTCTGAGGAAGAATCTCTTAAACCGTCTTCTCCATATCGATCTTTAACTGAAATTAAGCAAAATTTAAACTATTAAAAGATGAATTAAAACAACGTGAATATACATTAGATGGGAACTAACGTTTTTGTAATTCTTCTTTTTCTCTCCATTTGGTATATTTTTTAGCATAATCTTCGTTAATACTCAATTCTTGCTCACATTCCGAAGATTCGTCCCCGATTAATGCTTCCATATTTACCAAATATTTCTTCTTCTTCTTCTAAAGTGTTTATATGGAGATTTTAGCTCAATATTACCAAATATTTCACATGTTCATATTCACATAAAC